GAAGTAAATCTTCTTTTTTATAAATGAAAAGAAAAATCAATTTTTATTTTTATYATTATCTAACCACAACCGTCCGCAACCGCAAACACTCGAGGGAAATAACTTTTGGATTTGAGAGGTTTGAAACGACACGGAGGCGTATAAAGCATTCTTCATGATTGTTGTTAAATGCTAACAACTGCTACTACCCACAAACGCAGTATTTACGTGTGGTAGCGGATGGTAGCGGGTGAACGAATCAACCCTAGCTCTTATCGTCTTCTTCATCACCCTCTCTCTCCCCTCCCCCAAAACCCAAACAGTCACTGGCGATTCATCTTCTCCGTCGTTACACCGGAGATAATTTCTTCTGGTTTCCTACTAACTCTAGTACCCATTTTCAGTTTACTCAATCCCTGCAAATTTAGTGATTCGAATCAAACTTCGATTTTGAATACTCTTAACGAGAACGATGTGATCGACATTGCAACCGCCGCGTTCTCTCTCTCCGACGATTCTACAGCTCTAAAACAATTGCATCTGCAGCTTCTTCTTCTTCCCCTGTGACGACGACGACCTTGGACGCTGCTTCCGTCTCTCCTCCTCAATCCCAGATTCTCACCACTCGTCGTTCTCTTCTCTCCGGCGAAATCACAGCTTCAGAGATAGCTAAATCTTATCTCTCTGAACCGCAGCTTAAATGTTTCCTTCACGTATCTCAGAATGTTCTGAGAGATCCTCAAGAGATCGATGAACGAATCGCTAAGGATGAGGAGTTGGGTCCTCTCGCCGGAGTTTTGATCGGCGTTAAGGATAATATCTGCACGGAAGGTATGCCTTCTACCGCCGGTTCTTGTATCTTAGAGGGATTATTGCTGGCAAAACCAATATGTATGAATTTGGAATGGGAAGCTTCTGCATTTCAGGTTTGTATTATGAAAGATGAAATGATTTAGGGTTTAATCTTCTGCTAGTTTAGTTAGGGAATTGCAAATCCATGGGACTTAAGGAATCGAATTTTGATTGGTAACAATGTTGCTTATTGATTCTGCAAATGTTATCTTTGAATAGATGATTCTTATGGTCCTCAAGTTGAAGGAATACGGTTTTTGTTAGGGAAGGTTTTAGGATTTAATCTTCGGTTTGATTTTGGTTAAAGGTAACTGCGAATCCATGGGACTTGACCCGTGTACCGGGAGGTTCAGCAGCAGCTGTTGCGGCAAAACAATGTATGGTGTCTCTTGGTAGTGATACAGGGGGAAGTGTGAGACAGCCAGCTTCGTTTTGTGGTGTTGTTGGTCTTAAGCCAACTTATGGGCGTGGCTCTCGGTTCGGACTTATGGCTTATGCATCTTCGTTGGATTTGATTGGTTGCTTTGGCTCTACTGTTGCTGATGCTGGGATGATTCTTCATGCTATTTCTTGGTATGATAGGTTCGACGCCACAAGTAGCAAACAAGTAAGGCCTCTTGTTGTTGGTTTCCTGCATTATAACGAGAGAGAGGAAAGATGTTTCTTTTAACAAAAGAAGCATATTTTCTTTGTTCAGGATGTGCCTGAGTTCCAATCTCAACCATGAAAGTGAGTGAAAGTTGGTCTGATTCCCGAGACACTCGAAGAAGGTATTGATTCTGGAGTGAGCTCTGCAACTCAGGAAGCTGCGTCTCACTTAGAAGCATTGGGTTGTGTATTAACAGAGGTTTTTTCTTCCGAATTCC